GCACAGATCAAATCCCTGCTTGGTTTCACCTCAGGCCTCCTGAAACGACAACAGGCAAGCCTCAAAATGTTGACTTGCCACCCACAGACCCAACCCAGCCTCCCTGGGCTTGGGTTCCTAGGACCAACTCAAGAACATCATGAAAAAAAATCTAAATGACCAATATAGTTGGTCATTTTTTTCACATTTTAGAAACTAATCCTATTAAGTATATTAAAACTATGTTACTCTGTTAAAATTATTTTATCCTCTTCTGCAAGCAGTTTACAGTATAGTTAGAATTGTTTAGCAAGACATTTCTTTCAACTCAGGACTTGGGGGAAAATAACCATGTGTACCATAAATAGCTTAATCCTGAGCCAGACTTGCCACCCACAGACCACTGAGCCAGAGCTGGGTGCTGAAATAAGTTTTGAGTAGGAGTAAACTCCAGCATTTAAAAGATTGATGCCCATCAAGACCAACAACTCTGGAAAAAGACAACAAACCTTGTATTAAACAGGGAAAAATGGAAGAAAGCATAAATTGTCAAAATGTTAGGCTCTTACCAGAAATGGACTCCAGCAAATGCAGGAGACACACATTATAGCCAGGAGCTGGATGACCATTTCAAAATGATGAGACCTGCCTTGTCTGTGCTGCTGACTTTTAAATTTAACTCTTAAAAGTGTAATTCCTGTGATGGCATTGCACAAGAACGAAACGCCAAGGGCTAAGAGCCCCAGAAAAGAAAAGAGAAGAAGATAAAACCTATCTTCCCAGTCTTTGATGTGCTCTGTTTTGTAGAAACACCAGGTCCTCGATGCTTGAATTTTATAGTTTCGATGCCCAAGGATGGGTAGCAAAGCTATGAAAACAGCAAACAAGCACACTCCACTCAACATCATTTTCACATGTTTGGATGTAATTTTCGTAGAATGAAATATTGGTTTGGTGACTCCAATACATCGCTCAATGGCCATCACACTGCCTAGAAAAAGTGGGCACAGACCAGAGAATACCATGCAGATACCAAAAATACTGCAAAGGATGTTCGACTGGTCAAAGCGGATCCAGTCTTTATCAGAAGCGTATACAAAGACCGCTATAGCTCCATTGATGAGGTGGCCAAAGAAGTCTGTGATGACCAGGGCACTGGCCAAAAGCAGAAACGATGCCTTGGACTTCTGTCTAAATCTCTGATAGGCCTTCATGAGAATAGCAATGGCAAGGCTGTTTGATAAGATCCCCACTGTCATGAAGATGATTGAAAAAAATACCGAAAACCGGTTTTCCGTCTGGCAAGTTGTATTTGAAAGGAGCCCAGCTGCAGGAGACACTGGCTGTTTGGAATTGTTCATAGACATTGTTGTGGAGATAAAAAAAAAAAGCTGGCCACTCAAGTCATCTCCCTCTCAGCACAGTGCAGGCTTGCAGTCCGGACATCTGTAGCATAAAGACAGAGGAATGGTGAGCACTGGATAACTGCTCATCTGACATTTAAGACTGACGGGCCCAGCACCCCGCGGTGGGACTCGGATGTATCTGGCCTATCATAAGCAAGGCTGCATCATACCACAGCAGCACATATCTGCCCCCCCCTTCCACATTGCATCTTCAAGGTAATCAAGCTGCCAAGATTGAGACTCCCTTTGGTGCACTCTGTGGCCCCTCTGCAAATGGGTACCTCCTAAATCTCCTCCTGACCTTCATAGGCACCCTAAAACTTGTGAAGTTTACAACATCACCAACAAGATTAGATTTAAACCCAACAAAGTTTTTAAAAGCATGCTCGTCTATTTAAATAACGAGGTGACATTTAAAGTTTCTGCTTTCTTCTTGGATGGGCTTTGTCCCCAAACTGCAGATTATTCTTTAAGTGTTTGTCAGGCAGACAAAACAGTCTTCTTCAAACTTTGGCAGGGGACAGAGTGGACCTGCAAACTCACTGATGTTAAATGGGGCTTCTCTCAATACGTTCTAAAATTGTTAGCTTTAGATCAAATTACAGCAAACCACACACATGTGGGACCCATGGAAGGTCGAGTGGTGAGTCTCTAAGAAGCTTTTCTGGTCCAGCTAGCACCTGTGCAGAAATCCTGGCGACAGGAAAGGAGGCAGTTCGTCGTGCTCCCCGTGAGAACGTCTGCCTACATGCTGTTGATCAAGTTACAAGCTTCAGGGTAGCAACGTCTCATACGAAGTATTCATTTGTATTCATTTATCGTTCTTTCCGTAGTGTGTTGAGGCCTGAGTCATAGACCCTCCATACCCATGACCACAACCATACGCCTCGAGCTAATTCGATTGAGGTTTCCCCCGAGCAGCTTTCCGGGAGGCTGGGAATTACCGAGCCAGCCTTCCTGGGCCGGACGGGAGTGGAGCCGCCCGGGCTGCCCGAGGACTGCCGCCTGCTCCGGGTCTTATAGCTCAACTTTCGCCGTGACTACCCCACCGCCCCTAAGCCTCTGCTTGCAACATCCTTCCCAAACCTAACTTGCTGAAACTTTCTGCTATTGCTCAAACGCCACAGGGCCGGTTTCCCTCCCTCCCTGGGGGGCGCCAAAGGCCTGAGCTGGCCCGGGTGCGGGACTCCAAGGGTCGCCGGCCAGGAACCACCGGACGGGAAGGAGATCTCTCCGTTGCTCCTATTCCCTCCCCTGAGACCCTTTGCACCCGCAGTTCAGAATCAGTTCGGGTCAGCCGGAATACCCCTCTCTCTGAAGGTCTCCCCAGCTCAGGGCATCTGGTCCAAACTTGTTGCCAAGCTCAGACTAAGGTGCCCTCCAGTGCGACCGGGTGAGGGTTCCACCTCGGTGGGGTGGAGCATCCGGAGGCCGACCCCTGGGAATGCAGTCGCTGGAGGGGTGGTTACCTTGGCATCCCGGGCCGCCGGTAGGGCTCTCGGCGGAGAAGGGCGCCCCGCTCCGAGTGCCATGGCGCGCCGGGCTCCGCTCCGCCACCAAGGAGGGTTCCTCCCGCGCAGCCCCGCGCTCCCGCTCCCGCTCCCGCTCCGGCTCCGGCTCCGGCTCCGGCTCCGGCTCCGGCTCCGGCTCCGCTCGGCCCCGTCGCGCGTCCCTCCGCGCGCTCCCCCAGCGCGGAACCTGCGGGCGCACAGGGCTCCTCCGGTCGCTCAGCACCCAGCGGCGCTCGCAGCCTGGGCGGGATGGAGAGCGCGGGTGACCTCCGCCGCCCCCACCCCTCCTCTCCTCTCTCCTCTCCGCCCCCTGTGCCAGGAGCCGGGAGCCCGACCGGGAGAGACCAGGGCTCCGCGCTCAGATGCTACGGCATATGCACCAGCATCAGAGCCCCAGCCCCACCACTTAAGGAAAAGTTTTGTTTCAAACTCTTGTTCAATCTAAAGGCGCCATCTCTAAAGCTGCAAAATCGGAATCGGGAGAGTCGAGGAAAGCCAGCTGTCGTGGCAGCGTGTTGGACTGTCACACTGTAGTTTGCTGAGTGAATCCATCCCAAATCCAGCTCGAAAAAGATCAAGAAATCAGGCAGAAAGAAAGAGACGGTGTATTTGAGGAAAGGGCTTAGTGGCCGATATCCCCAGGGAGTTAAAAACAAGTATTTAAGCCACGTGTTGTAAAGGAAAACAGTCACTGCCTTGGGGTTCACTATCAGAGGACTGGACTATGTTTCTAACTTTCTAAGGAATGTGAGAAGGGAAAGGGATGAGAAGTATTCTTGAAGGACACCTGCAGATAAGGTATTAGTAACATTTTAATGATTTTTTTAAAGCCCAATGTTGACAGTATTTCTAATGGTATGTTTACCCAGAGAGTTGTGAATCTAAATTTTGTGGAGATCATTTTATTATCAAGTGAAGAAATACCCACTACTTCACTAGGAATTATGATTTGGGTCATTTTAATACTGGAACTGCGTTTTGCCAATATTGTTCTGATCCATACCTACTGTGTCTCATTTTTCCAGCTAAATACTTACAGGAATCTATTAGTGACCTCTGTTCTTTTTATTTTAGTAAAGTGTTCCACCACCTATGTGAAAAATTAGTGCCACATGGAAATAAACCCTCTTTACTCTGTTCTAAAGTCAGAAGGGGCCTCTAAATTCCTGGAAATTGAAAAGGATCATAAAATGCTAAAGTGAGATAAAATAAATTAGCCATTAACTATAGAAAAGAATGATTGCACAGTTTTCCCCTGTGGTAGATATTGAGGGTTTTGTTAATAATATGATCATAACTTGTAAAATAAACTATTACTCAGGTGGTCAGGGAATTGAACAATTTGACTAATCAAAGGTTAGTAAAGGAATATTATATCTAGATGGCCAGTATCCAAAGAACAACTCTGTGATAAACTACACAGAAAACGTGAATGCCATAAAGCACTAGTCTTTCCCTCAATGATTAAGAACACTTAATCACATTACACTGCGATTATGTCTGTCTCACTGAAATGAATTCCTGCAGAGGTCTTATTCATCTCTCCACCCTCACCTAGGACTGTGCCTGGACACTTACCAAATGCTGTTTGAATTCATCAATGGTACAAGCAGTATTTCAGTATTATAGTTTGAGATCTTGAAAACTCTTCATCTCTCACTGGAGCACCTCACTAACATCAGCTGCTCTGTCTACTGGGGAAAAAAAAAAGTAAAGAAAGAAATCTCATTAATATAATGTCAAATCATAACATGCATTATTAATATATTTAAGACAATAGAAATTTGTTTTTCAAAATACTACATAAATCCTTTCTTTTTTCTTTTTTTTAGAGAGAGAGTGAGAGCACAAGCAGGGGAGGGGGCAGAGGGAGAGGAACAAGCAGAATCCCTGCTGAGCAGGGATCCCAATGCAGGGCTCGATCCCAGAATCCGAGATCATTACCTGAACTGAAGACAGAGGCTTAACCAACTGAGCCACCCAGGTGCCCCATAAATTCCATTTTTTAAAACAGATTATCTACTTTGCATGTATTCTTGGAGTTTCTTTTTTAGAATCCACTCCTTAATCCAGACGCATTTCACTTGAAGATCAATAAAAGATTCTAAAGCACTGACATCGCTTCTCCTCAAGATAGAATATGTTACTAGTAGCAGAGCAAGTACTAATTGGTATGGAAGATTAGACACCTATTGGTAAAAGAAAAAATATATACACGTGTGTGTTGGGGGGGGTCTGGCCTTATGGGACCCAAATCTGATCCTCTATTCAAAGTTCCCAAAGGCGGCCTTTGGCTGCTTATATAAGGAAGAAGAGCTGGTGATTCTACAGATAAGAGAAATAAACAGATCAAAAAAAAAAAAATTAGTGGGGCCTGGGTGATGGCTCATAAACTCTTCTGAAATGGGGTAGTTGCTATTGGTACTTCTCCTGAGAAGTGGACACCCTCACAAAACTATTCATTGATAAAGTCATTCAACGAATTTTTTGAGCACCTACTTCGTGTCAGGCACTGTTTCTCAGTGGCAGCGATACAGCTGTGTGAACAAAGCTTACAAAGCCCCTCCTCTGGTGTGACTTCTACGTTAAGGGAAGGCACTTACTTTGGGGGAACATGTGCTGGAGACCTTGCAGTGATTTTAGATGTTCAGGATTCCCTTTGTGTTCAATGGAGGCAAAGCTGACGTCAGCCAGTCTGCACAGAGCTAACATACCATGACAGGTGTGTGCTTGGCAATCACCTTCACTCAGAATTAGATGCAGGACACTTTGCTCGTGCACACTGTAATTAAAGTCAGAGAAACAGGGACTCAGTGACACTGAGGTTGCAATAAAAATTCCATAAAAGTTAAAGGGAGTGTTGGAAGTTGAATTTTATGGTTTTAATAAAACTGTCTAGAAAAGCTTTTCTGGAATTTGCCATTGAGATTAATAGTAGAAACATGCCCTGATTTGGTAGTGATGAAAATAATAACATCTTTTGTCTTTTTATTTTTATTATATAACTATTTGATACATGAAAAGTAGCATATGTCACACATTTGAAAATTGTGAATTATAAAAAAATAAACACCCGTGCACCTACTACCTAATATAAGGACTGCATTAGTTTCCTAGGGCCGCTGTAACAAAGTACCACAAGGTGAGTGGCTTAAACAACAGAAATGTATCGTCTTTTACAGTCTGGAGGCTAGAAGTCCAAAATCAAGGTGTTGGCAGTTTTGGTTCCTTCTAAGGGCTGTAAGGGAGAATCTACTCCATGTCCCGTGCCTTCCTTCTGGGGATTTGCTGGTATTCTTTAGTGCTTCTTGGCTTGTGGATGCATCACTTCAATTTCTGCCTTCATCATCATATTCCATCATCCCTGTGTCTCTGATCTCATATGAGGTCTTTTAAGGACCCCAGTCGTATTGAGTTAGGGGTCCACCCTACTCCAGTATGACATGGTCTTAATTAATTACATCTGCAACAACCCTATTTCCAAATAAAATCACAGTCTGAGATACTGGGGGTTAGGACATCAATATATCTTTTTCTGGGGGGGGAGCAATTCAATCCATAACAAGAACTATGTTAGAACATTAATAATATTGCTACATCTATCTGCATATTTCTGCCTCCATTCCAATCCTCTGTATCCCTCCGTCAGAAATAAGAGAGATAACCACTATCCTGAATTGTGTGTTTGTCATCATTCTCTTGAATTTCATTGTTTTATCACATAAATATGCAGATGAACCAACATATTATTTAAATTTCCTTATCTTATGATTTAACATTCCTTAACTTTTTTCATACAAGATTTATAAGATTTGTGCATATCATTGTATGCAGTAGTCGTTCATTCTTTAACAAACTTCTATAATACCTCAGTGTTTGGCTATCCAAATTTTTAAATTACTCTGTCAATAACCTCAGGGTTATTTCCAATGTTTTATTCTCAGGAAATGTTCTGCTATGAGTATGGTCTCATGCCCTTCACCTTATATAGGAGTTTCTCTAGAATATGTACCTTGAATAAAATTACTGGGTCATAGGGTGTGAGAATGTTCAACTCGACTTTACAAGATAATGCTGAAATCTTGTATCAATTCACACTCCTTAAATGGTGCATAAGAATTCCTCATCAGCCACATTCATGATAATGGCTTGGAATTGCCTAGCTTTTTAATTATTACCAGCAGATGATGGTAAAATGATATTACATTGTGGACCTAAATTACGTTTCCCTTTTCATTTATATTTATTCTGCTGTGAAATACCTGTTTGTCTCTTTTATTGGGTTGTTTGTCTTCTTCTCATTAATACTTTTGTGTTCTAGATACTAACCCCTATCAGTTAATGTTTTGAAAACATCTTTTTTTCTCCAAATCACATCTTGCCTTTTCATTTTCTTATGCTATCATTTTTTATGAGCTGATCAGTTTTTGCATATTTTTTATTTTGTATTTCATACTTTTAATTGAAGTATAGGTGACATATAATATTACAGTAGTTTCAGGCATACAATATAGAATTACCATACAATTCAGGAATTTTACCTCTGTGTATTTACCTAAAGAAAATAAAAACACTAATTCAAAGATATATGCACTCCTACATTTATTGCAGCATTATTTACAATAGCTAAGATATGAAAGCAACCTAAATGTCCATCACTAGATGAATGGATAAAAAGGATGTGGTATATATACACAATGGAATATTACTCCACCATAAACAAAGAATAAAATCTGCCATTCACGACAACATGGATGGACCTAGAGGGTATTATGCTAAGTGAAATGAGTCAGACAAAGAAAGACAAAAACATATGATTTTATTTATACATGGACTCTAAGAAATAAAACAAAAAACAGCAACAACAAAAAAGAGAAACAGACTGAAATACAGATAACAATCAAGTGGTTGCTAGAGGGGAGGGGCAAAATAGGTGAAGGGGATTAGGAGCTACAAACTTCCAGTTATAAAATAGATTAAGTCATGGGGATGAGAAGTACAGCATAGGGAATATCATCAATAATACTGTAATAATGTTATATAATGACAGACGGTAA